TTGGTACGGCGCCTAGCCGTTTTTTAATTTTTTCCTTTTCGCGGGCTCGAACCCGCGACCTCTGTACTACCTGCCTGATATGGACACGTCGTTATCTACTGTACGATTAGATTAGATAGGACGGCAGTGCACGGCACAGCTCGGGCCCCGCTGACGCAGCCGCTCTGACTCACCGGCCCCCGGGGCCGCGTCGGCATGCTGCGCACAGACCAGCTGCGCACGGACCAACGCGCACAGCCTGCCCTTATCTCCCCATGTATATAAGCCGGCCTCTGCTGCCCTAGGGACCTCAGTTTCGACCTCTTGTCCCTAGGTCAGTAAGCCCCAGTTGTATCCTTTACTTACCTTCACTAACTAATACATTTCTTGTCCCTAGCCTTAGGTTTGAGCCTCGCTCACCATCGCTTCGGTGAGAATCAGTCGGACGCCCCCAGCCTTCAGGTATTCCCCAGTCGCTTGACCTCAAGTCGCGACAACGATCAGGTCCAGCCATTCCTCAAGCTTGGTCTTATCCTCACTGCCCTTGAAGGCTGGAGGTTCCCCAATCTTAGGTTGACGGGAATGACCGCTACCCGTTGATGCAGGTAGCGCATCAACTTGTTGCTTGTAGGAATCAACTAGCGCCTGCTGATTCTGGACCGTGATATGCAGGGATTCGACCTCTCGAAGGAGGCTCTGAAGGTATCCGTCGTAGTGCCTGCTTATTTCTAAGGTCAGGCGACCAATCCAGTCTCTGACTCGTCCAGTGGTCGATTCTGCAGCATTCGCAGTAACCGTTTGCAGCAGAGCTGCTTGTTTGTCAGAGATGTTCACGTTCTGGAAGATTGCATTACGCCACTCTTCTTCCGTGGCGATCGCGAATGCTTCGGTCGGAACGAAGGGGATGTATGGGGCCATTTCTTATTGTAGTGATTAGCCCGTATTCACTTATGATTGAAAGGAAAAAGTGAAGCGAAGGAGATCTCCTCCTCATGCCATATAAGCCAATTATGCCAGAGAAGATTGCCAATCTTTATTCCACTATCTACACTTTGTACTTGAAGGTGATGTTTAGGCTAGCCAACTCATTACAAATCTCCGGCAGGCGATTGCTTAAGTCTTCAAAGGAGACATGCCCGATCCTTTTCAGGTCGTGCTTGATAACTCTCCAGTGCCTGTTGGTAAGCCGGCGCGCCTTTTTCTCCAGCCCATGATACAACTCATCAAATCCATCACCCATCCTCCTGACTTTCACCACAACTTCCGGCTCCAAGCTCCCTTCTTCTTTTTCCATTTGAGCGAATACCGGTTCCAGCCTGTCAGCTGTGGCGGCAAACATCTTGTTGTACTCGGATGTGCGCAACAGAATCTTCGTGCGCTGGAAGTGAATGTCGGGGAACGGCTTGGGTGGTTCGTATTCGTAGGAGGGTCCCGCCTGCATATCGATGCGATCGATGAGGGGGGGAGCAGGGTCGGAGATACAATCAAGCAACTGTTGCTTCTTGAAGAGATGCGCATGAAGTGCAAGCTCCTCGATGTTGTGTTTCGCTTTTTCAGTGTGTTCAGGGTTGAAGGGGCGGCAAATGAGTGGCTTGATGGTGGGGCGTACAATTCGGCAAGGTTTGCCAACGTCGTCGAACTTGTGCGTGTTGGGGATGGTGATACGCTCAAGCAGGCCTGTCGGCTCGTGCTTGGCAGTGACAATGAAAGGTTTGGCTTTCGGCATGGCTACGGCAGAGGGGATTAGATAACAGCTTTTCAGCTGGCTCTTTTCAGAGCGAAGAAAAGGGTATGTGCTATACTACAGGGTCCATTGGTCATGCTTCATGTCGGCGTCCTCCTGCTCTCTCTCAGCAGGTAGGGAGGGGGGAATACAGATCTCAGTTGGGTTTCCACGCCCGCTGCAAGTGGTTTTGGGAGAATCTTACACTCTCCCTAAGGCTGCGCATGCTGGTTATCCGTCGTAAGCCCTAAGGCCTCATAGAATGGTAAACCACATTCCAGCATGTTGCCCATAAGGCAGCAACCTCCCCTTACGCCTAGGGACCGGCGAAAAGCTCAGCATGTTGACACCAATTGTTCAACCCTGACCAATAAAGGTAGGTGCTTCGCAAAAAGGTATTGCCACTTTTCAGTTGACAAACCATAACCCCCAGAACCCACATGAAAAGGCCACCTTACGCTTTGCAGCATAGGGGCATAGCAACGACTAATAGGCCCTGTAACAAAAGCAGGTAGCAAGGGACCCTTGCCAGGGCCCAGTGCACCTTAAAGCAGTTCTATTCAACTATCACAAAACCTATAAACCCACTTTATAGCTTGATGGTAAGGGGGGGGAGATAAAGCACTTAAGTGTGGGGGAGGTAATGCTGTTAAGCGCAACAACGAAGTGAATAGAACTGGGGGACAGGGTGCCCCAGGATGCTGCTTTATATACATGAGGGAAAACCCCCCAGGGACCGGTAATGGACCCCTGGTACATAGCTGGGTAAGGATTACTAAGTATCATGTGCTCTATGATGTCATATATGATGTCATAGTCTGGCCCTGCCCTGCCCTGGGCCTAGGGTCCAGAATTGACCGGCCTATGGCCTAGTGCCTGAGCCTAGCTCCTACCTATGATGTCAGAATGATGTCATGGTCCAGAAGGAGTCTGGTTTCTATCTAGAAAAGGTCTGGCATCAGAGTCCAGCCTGATGTGTCCAGAACAAGATCATGTGTCACTTATTTAAGCGGATAACCCCTTAGATATGCAGCTGTACCCATATGCGGACGAATAAGTATGGATAAGTCCCTATACCCTTTGATATGTCGGCAGAAATAGTGGAAAAATTAGGTAAAATTAGGGAAACTGTGACAGGGGCTCAAACCTAAGGCTAGGGACAAGAAAGTGTATTAGTTAGTATAAGTAAGTAAGCAGATACATGAGAGCTTACTGACCTAGGGACAAGAGGTCAAAACTGAGGTCCCTAGGGCAGCAGAGGCCGGCTTATATACAGGGGAAGATAAGGGCAGGCTGTGCGCACTGGTCCGTGCGCAGCTGGTCCGTGCGCAGCTGGTCCGTGCACAGCTGGTCCGTGCACAGCTGGTCCGTGCACAGCATGCCGATGCGGCCCCGGGGGCCGGTGAGTCAGAGCGGCTGTGTCAGCGGAGCCCGAGTGTGCCGTGCACTGCCGCCCCATCTAATCTA